AGTGTAGCGTAAAATAAATAAATAAAACTAAACATAAAAAATTGCATTAAATTGTATTTAAGCATAATTTAAAAAAAAAAATTTATAAAATCTTGAATCTATAACTAATTAATTTAACTACTTTTCATGAGATTTTGCCAACATTTCAGAATTAAATCTATTACAAATTTTCAATGTTGACAATTAGTGGCAACACGGTCAAATTGCGAGCTGCGACGTCATAGAAATAAATTCTGGGTTTTTATTTGGAGGTATTTCTTTGTTTTCTGTTTTCTCAAGAAGGACTTTGAATTTTTCAAAAGTAAAAATACAGAAAATTCTGTTTTTAGTTGCTTTATCCAAATATGCCAATTTCAAAAATTAGTGAAAGAGCCCATTCACTGCATTTTTCAGGAAAACAGATTATCGCGTTTATTTTGGATTTAACAAGAATAGAATACGTATATATAAAGGCCGGTATTAGTTAGTTATTTAGTAAAGTATAAGATTGACTGTGATACGTTTTAGACAGTGATTATTGTAAGAGTTGTCAAAGAGTTAAGTTGTTTGAGTTAATTAGTGTCAGAGTGTGTAGTACCGTGGAATAAATTATTGTTGTGTTAATTGGACTTTGATTTCGGAACAAACAAACTAAGATTTCTGTCACGCACCCCAGAGCCGTGACAATATTATAATTTTTGTGCGAATCAGGATGCATCCTATTCTCAAAAAAAAAAAAAAACTATTTTCTTTTTCACCTATTACTGATTTTTTACAGTCGCTTCAGCCTTGTCGTAAGTGTCAATGCAACAGTAGCGTCAAAGCAAAATAATAGAGAGTTTTCGTTGTCTTTTAAAAGCGATTCCGATAGCCGCTATTTGACAAATTTGACATTTGAGCTAGCATTTATCGTTATCGTTACCGATAAGTGCCGGGAGCTTACGGACGGAAGACAAAACCATAGCGAAAACGGAAAGCATGCGTATTTCCTATGTTTTTGTTGTGGTTTGTTTTTGTTTTTAAATGTTTTTGGTTTTCGAAATAGATACTAAATTCCCTCAAAAGATCGAGAAATCGTTTCACGGATGAGGACAATATTATTTATTATATTATGTGCAATCGAGTGTTCCATCCTGAAAATCTCGCACTATTTTTTATAATTCTGGCCACATCATTTTTTAAGTACAAGCCCTGATGGAGCCCTAAACTTTTGGGCGAAACTTGGTAAAGACTTAACAGGCCTTCTATTTTTTGTCCTAACCTACGAATCACCCCTCTTCATTGGATACCAATAGGACACGAACTTCTCTTAAGCATTTATTATTTCATTAGAAGAAATATTGGCCAACAACCCCTCCTATATGACGATGCATCTAAATAGGCTTTTGTAGTAGCCAATTTTGTAAAGCCTACAGGGAAAATTAATGAATTTTGGGTACTAAGAAATTAAAACAAAGTATACAAAACGTATATTAACACAATGATAAACACAAACTATTAAAGAAAGGTTATGTTTGTCGAATTCGACTTAACGTTAACGTTAAGCGGATTGAACGAAAACTATTTTTACGATCTGTCAAATAGCGACTTTGTTTTCGTATCCGTTATGGTTAACCGTTCGAATTTGCCAATACAACGAAAACTCTCTAATATTAAAGATTAAAATGCCCGATTATTATTTAATGGTCGAATTTCACTGGTGACTTAACTGACTATTATGGCTCAATTTGGAAGAAAATTAGTTATATTGTTGTTGGTGGCAGGATACGGATTATACTCGTGTTTCGAGTTTTGTTATTACTTTTGTGCTAATTAGTACGGAAGGAAGTGGAACTAGAAAGTACCTACCTTTTTGAATTGAATAAATAGTTCCATTTGAGGCTAATAATAAAGAATAGACGTGATCTTATGTAGTGTATTAATGAAATTTTCTACTTTTAATTTATTATGTTAGATATTAGAAAAGTTAATTGTTCGTAATATATTTTAGGTACGAAAATAAGTATGTATGTAAATATGTACGTCAATCAGAAAGAAAGGTTTCTTTTTCGTGTTGCAAGAATATAATCGCAAAATTAAAAAGGCATTAAATTTCATTTTACATGCCCTTTTCAACTAGGTGCTGCACCCTGCTTCTATTTGAAAAACAAAATTGGGGTTGTTTACAACCCCTGAAAATAAGTCTAGCTAGAAATTAAGATTGACATGTTTTTTACATTTAAAAAAAGAAATAACTTATTTCAGTTAACCTTTCCACAAAATATAGCTGAAAGAATATCTTCTTCTCTTCGTGTGTTAAATACGATAAAAATATTGCCGCGTAATTTTCCAATTAAGGCGCGTAGTTAGTCGTAATGTAACGCAGAACACGTAGAAGGTTAAAACACTATAAATTATAGTTTGTAAATGAATCTTTCATTGATGGATTGGGTTGCATAATAATTTTTGTTAACACTTCAATGGAACAACTACCTAAATAAATATCAAAACATTTCTTTCAATATCTCATTTATATCTTAACCGAGACTGGTCCAGTTTCACCGTGCTTCTTACTTAATTGCATTCTTCATTCTTGGTTCCAGGATTTTTTCAAGTCTGGTTTGTTTTTCGAATCCATTATTGGCGAAATTTTAAATTTTCCTGAAGCCGATCCTGCTCTTCTTGTCTTTCTGTCTGCCTTGAGTGCCTTGTCCTCATCTTCTTGTTGTAAAAAGTGCTGCAAGCCGGTCCTGTTCGGCCTGTTTTCGGCTTTATTTTCTCACCTTTCTGTCTGCCTTAGGGCTTCTTCTTTTTGTTTATGTCTTTTCTTGTTTTTCTATTTGTCTCTGATTTTCTTGTTGCTGTAAAATTACTGCAAGCCGGTCCCATTTTTCTTGTCTTGTATCTTCCAGCATTTGATTAACTCTCTTCCTTTCGTGTATTTACCAAAGAATACTCTGTTTCTTTCTAGAAACTTGATTTGAACGACCAACTGGTTGTTGAATAATAAACTCAAAATTATTGCTTCAAAAAATAAATATATTACATAAGGTATTTAAAAAAAAAAAAATAATTGAACAGCCTTATACATTAATATTGTGCCATTTGAAAGAGTTAGTTATATGAAATACTTGGGGCTAATTAAATGAAAATGTCAACTGGAAAAAATATATTTCAAATCTTTATAATGGAAATACCAAAGGTGGGAGCTGTTTACAGATGTAGAAGCTACCTATCCCACAAAAATAAAATAAATATTTACAACGCCTATTTTTTTGTCACACTTTCGATATTTACTTTCCGTATGGGGTACTTGTGGTGAAACCGAATTCCAAAGAGTTCAAATACTACAAAATAAGGTTTTGAAAGTATGCATTATTCAATTATGGTCGACTAACGCATGCAGATACCTTGTACGGGGAATTGACAGCAATGCAAATAAATAGATTAGGAGACTTCGAACAATGTAAATATGTTTACAATATAACACATGACAAACAAAATTTGACAGATGTCACGTGATTTGACACGTGAAAAAATAAGTGATCACGTGGCGTCTGTCAAAATTTGCTCTTTTTGCTCGCAGATGCGATTACCGAGCCCAACCAATAAATTACCTACAAAAAACAATGATCAAATTTCCAAAATTTTATCTCAATCATAAAAATAAATTATGTTCATGAATTTTATACTTATTAATATTATATTATTAGAATTTATAAGTGTATGTAATGAGTGAATTTTCGAATGCGCCCTGTACATACATCCAACTTAATATTTGTGGGGGGTTAGCGCTCACAATATTAAATTGGATCGGGATGTACAGACTACAGAGCGCGTTCGAAAAGAAAAATTTACTCTGAGTCACCCTGTATATCATTGTTGACTGTTTCTTAGTTTATTAGATTTTTTCCCTTGTTATCAGCGATAAGTGATTACCAATGATTGCAAGATTGCATGGAGTATAGAGTTGCAAATTGTAAATCTGAATTATTGAATGGATGTTTCTGAAGTATAAAGTCCGGTAGCGAAATAAAAATTCTCGCACCTTGCTCAATTTTCAAATAGAACATGATGGAATGTTCTAGAAAAATCACTCTTCGACGGCAAAACCAGTAATAAAATCACTATTTCAGTTCACCGAAAGTTCACTTATTGTTCTCACTAATGAGCTCAAATAAATCAACTAGATATCTTGCTTATTACCTATCCCGCTAATATGACGTCCTCTCCATTCCTATGTACTTTATATCAACGATATTATGTTCAAGAATGAACTGAATGGTCCTTGTAGTAGAGTTTTGTTTCAAATTCGTATTTTGAGAAAAATAATTTATAAAAATTTTCAGTTTCAAATTTTCAGTTTCAAGTTTGGTGACCAAAAAAATAACAAAAATACTTCCACCGAAATAGAATAATGCTTTTATATTTATTTCTAATTAGAAGTCACTATATCTTTGTGTAGATTTCATATTAGTAATAACGAAAGAGTTGAACACTGATTTAGGAGAAATTTCAAGCGAATGAATAGACTCATGAGATTCGTTGACCATAATTTCAAAATTTCCGCATTGGAGCCTTTGCTTTTCTACTTTCTGTAACAAAATCTTTAAAATTTGCTGAGCACCCTGAAGATATTTTTCACTTCTAAGATTCAGTGCAATTATTAGAAAATGATTTTTAGATTTTAGAAGGTGGTTTTTCCATAGTATCTAAGTCCTAAAACTCTGCAATATATATCCTCGATATCAATTTTTCTGGATTTTTATAAAGTCAATCCAAAATACATAATAATGTGCCACCTACGAACATATGGCTTTTAATCCATATTTATTGTTGATTCATAGTTAATTTTTACTGATAACATTTGTATGATATTTTGATTGCTATAGGTAGGTAATAATAGGAAAACTCGGCATGACTATATGTATAATTTCTTTTGTTTCACACTATATTCCGGGAAGTTTCGGAAATCTCCCTTCTAACAAAACACATTTAAATCGTAATATTCACCCCTTACTTACATATTGTTTTTGTTTCAGATGCCAACCACTAGAGCCGGAGAGAAGTTCGGTAAAATGGAATTCGGCTAAAACAGACCTTTATAAGCCTTTAAGTCGCACAGTGTTTACATATTAGGGATTGAAGTAGTCAGAGTTTCCAACTTTTTCCCATAAAGAAAATTCCAAAGATGAATGCGACGTTGTCGCCACTCGGAATATCCAATAAAACTTATGACTATCAAACGAGAGAACTGAACGTGACCTATGTCGTTTGCGAAATAATAGTGGCCATTCTGGCGGTATTGGGAAATGCTTTGGTCGTTTATGTATTCCTGAAAGAGAAAAAACTGAGAAGGAGAACGAATTATTACATCTTCTCCTTAGCCACGGCAGATTTCCTAGTGGGGTTTTTAGGAATCCCTTCTGCTATATTGTCATCTGTGGGGTTGCCCAAGAATTTGCACGCGTGCATGTTTTCTGTTTCCTCTTTGGTTGTACTATGTACGATTTCAATATTTTGCCTCGTGGCAGTTTCTGTGGACAGATACTGGGCTATATTGCACCCCATGGGATATTCCAGGAATGTTAGAACAAAGACTGCTCTAGGTAAGAAATTATTTTTAAATTTTAAAATGAGGATTGCCTATTATTGAAATTATGACGAAAATACAATTTTAGCATAAAAGCTCACAAAGGGTAAATATTTAATAAAACATGCTGCCTTTTTACATTGATTATAACATAAAAACGTATGGTAATATTTTCGGTTTAAAATATTGTTCTATTTCACCGCCTCTTTCATTACGCAAAATTTGTATGTAAAGTGATTGCTTCACTTTCTAAAAACTAGAAGTAATAGATGTCTGACGGGAAACTCCTCGGCAAGCAAGGTCAAAGCATTTAAATAAAATTTTCTTGTCTCTTGCAAATCTGGAGAAGTGCAAACCTCAGTTACCGCTAAACATTTACATTCAAACATCCTTTTTTTGCGACCTTGAGGATTTCATCACTTACTATGTAGTGACTTGACATTGCATTATATCTAATCAGAATAGAATAATGAAAAACACTTTTTCAACTTGCATAAAAAAATCGGCTATTCACAAGACATGAATGAAGGAAAACCTTGTAACCATACCTACTTAATTTCAAATTTTTCCGCATAAATGTACAAACTCCCAAGAAAGAGAATGAGAATCTCTTTAATTGTTTACGTTCAGACCTAAACTAATTATTTTTCAGTTTCTGCCCAGAACCCCAATTACTTTATCTCATAGTGCTCCGAATTAAAACCAATTATTGAAGTACCTATATTTATGGCTTTAGTGTTGACGTATATTTTTGTCTGGAAAATATTTTACAACGAGATGTTGACAATATTTGCTAGACATTGTAGCGGAGTTATTCCCTCCCCGTTTTTGAGTATTTTTTTCTAGAGATTGTTGTAGTTACTCTAAGTATAACTATGAGGACTTAGGTTCAAAAATCAAAACAATTTACTCGTCATATTTCACAATTTAGAGTGCTACGATATACATTTTTTTTTCCTATGTTTCAATTTCAATTACCATTTCCTAATTACCAATCCTCTATAGAATGTGTAAATTTAAACTGAAGGTAACTATTTATTCGATATCAGGCACCAATATTTATCACATCGAAACATTCTATTTCTATGGAACATCCTTTTAGGTTAATTATTATCAGTTCACGTGTATGTGTATGAACAATAAATATCCCATGCGTTTATTAAAGTTTTCTGGGCGGTTAAATATTTTAATTTCAGCTTCATTCTCTTCATCTCACTACCATTTTTTGTAGAAGGTGTATGTCGTTAACAGTTGAATTAGCTTCTGACCACGTACAAAAAATGCATATTTAATTTCCATGTGATTGCACCAGCTACGCCCTGGTTCACATAAATGTTTATGGGTTGTTTTCAGCAAATTGTATTTATACAGGGTGTATCAGGTTTGAGTAAAATATTTTACCATTTGATAATGTGGCCAATTCAAGCTAAGACTGTCCTAATAACGTGGGTCAATTCTTAGTATTTTGTACAGATATTTATTCACCGGCCGGGGCGCCTGAGATAAAATGGCAACAAACTAGAGGTAAATTTAAAAAAAATGTTTTTTGAAGTGAAACTTCTTAGGCGGCGGTCTGATATTTGAACGAGAATGGAGAGTGATTTAAGAGACGTGTCACGTTTTGTCAAATTTCGTCACACGACTGAGAAGAAAAATATAACGTAGAGAGACGGAGGAAGACAGCCAATGACAATGGCAGCCGACGAACGACTAACACAAACCAAGGATTAAAAGTGAAGAGGATTGCTTATTATTGTCAAGCGCCGTGACATCATTACAGATACGCGTCTACCTTTTGTGTGGCCATTCGTCTTTTACCCCGACTCATACGCCAAGTCTAAAAGGTGTATGAGGGGGAAAAAGTTTTTAAGAAGTTTCACTTCTACCACGTGTACGGCCCTGCATATGATTTTTAAAATCAAAATTTTTAGGCGGCGGTCTGATATTTGAACGACAATGGAGAGATTTGAAAAACGCGTCACGGTCAAATTTCGTTACTCGAGAGAAAAGAAAGATATATAACGCAAAGAGACGGATAAAGACAGCTATTGATTGACACAAACCAAGGATTATAAGCGCAAAAAGGATTGCCTATTATTGACCTTTGTGACGTCTACAGATGCGCGTCTCCTTTCTGTTATACTATTATCATTGTGTTTTGTGATTATTTCGTTATTTATACATTTCTGTGCTGTGATTTTTTTGGAGTGAAGCTTCTTAGGCGGCGTCTGATATTTGGACGCCAATGGCGAGTGATTCGAAAAACGCGTCACGGGCAAATTTGATTACTCGAGAGAGATATAACGTGAAGAGGCGGAGAAAGACACCTATTGATTGACAAAAACCAAGGATTAAAAGCACAAAGAGGATTACCTATATTATTGTAAAGCGCCGATAACCTTGTGACGTCACTACAGATGCGGGCTTCTCTTTTATTATACTATTATCATTGTGTATTGTGATTATTTTCGTTACTTATACATTTGTGTCATGTGCTTTTTGAAGTGAAACTTCTTAGGCGGCGGTCTGATATTTGGACGAGAATGGAGAGTGATTGGAAAGACGCGTCACGTTTTGGCAAATTTCGTTACACGAGAGAGAGAAGAAAAATATACCGTAGAGGGTCGGGGAAAGACACACAATGACAATGAAAGTCGACGATCGATTGACATAAACCAAGGATTATAAACCATTATGGTCGCTTTCTATTATTCATCGATGGACCCATCTGCTGCCACCATTATGAGACGGTCATTCCGATTTTCTATGAACTAGACAAAGATAGACTGGTCATCGATAGATCCATCGGTGAATAAAAGAAAAGGCCCTATTGTTAACACGTTGGCTGCCGTGAGACACAAATGTGGTGTCTCAGGTTATTTTCGATAACAGCCGCGTAATCCATCGTTTGTATCTCGGCGGTATTTCATCGCTATAGCCGCGTGAGCCGTGGTCGGCGTCTCAGGCCTATATAAGTTAAATGGGATTGAAAGAGCGCGGCTGTAAGTGTTGGAAAGCAATTTTGGTTTTTGAATCTGAGACTCACAAGTGGTTTCTCATGACCTAAAATATACCAAATTCATAAAATCAAAAACTATAGAAATGCAACGTGTTAATTGAATGAAATAAAACAAGAAAGCAAATGTTTTTCAAAAAATAAAACAAAACATATAAAAATTAGTAAAAAATACTTGAAAAAAATTATTTGGTGCAATTATGCACCTGAAAAAGACACTCAAGACAAAAATATTTCTCACATGCAGTGCATTTTAGTTAGAGAATAGGGCGCGAGTTTTCTAGGCTTTGTCACAATGTTTTCGGTCTAAGGTCTAAAAGTTGTATGAGGGGGATAGTTTCTAAGGAGTTTCACTTCTACCACATATACGGCGCTGCACATGATTTTTAAAAAAATTATATTCGTGAACCGTCATTATGTAAGTATATTAAAATTATTGAAATATTATCCAAAATGGTATTGGAGACGGAGAAAAACAGCCCTTGATTGCCATAAATCAAGGATTATAAGCGCAAAGAGGATTGTCCATTATTGTCAAGCGCCGATACCCTTGTGACGTCACTACAGATGCGCGCTTTCCTTTTGTTATACTATTATCATTGTGTTTTGTAATTCTTTTTGTAACTTATACATCTGTGTACTGTGCTTTTTGAAGTGAAACATCTCAGGCAGCGGTCTGATATTTGGACGACAACGTTTTGGCAAACTTTGTTACACAAGAGAGAAGAAAAATATAACATAGAGGGACGGAGAAAGACAGCCAATGACAATGGCAGCCGAAGAACGATTGACACAAACCAAGAATTATAAACTATTATTGTCAAGCGCTGATACCCTTGTGATGTCAGTACAGATGCGCGTTTCCATCCGTCTTCACCCCGGCTCATACGCTAAGTCTAAAAGTTGTATAAGGAGGGGATAGTTTTTAAAAAGTTTCACATCTACCACGTGTACGGCGCTGCACATGATTTTTTTTTTTGCAAGGAGTTTATTTTCGTCAGTTTTCGTTTTGGTTTATTATTCGCTTTTGAATAATGTAAATAATAATTTCCATTTTTATCACTTTTGTAATAAAAATAAAAAATGTGCCGATTTTATTAGGTTGTGAATTGCACTAAACACTCCAGAGAAAAATTAAATAATACTTACTCAGCTACTTGCCAAATCCTGATTATGAAAATGCTAATTTTTGTTTTCCTCTTTGAGAAAAGAATTGCCTTTGTCCATCCTGAACGGACTCCAGAAACAATAGTTTCAGGCTTGAAAAAGGAAAAACATATTCCGAAACATTGCCGAAAGCTTGATAGTTTCTTTTTTTTTGGTCCTGTCCTCAGTGTCCTCTAACTTACGAAAGTAAAACATATCTGGACATGAAATGATCGCAGTTATACTTATTTTTGTTACAAGGTTTTACAAACACTAAAATCATAATTGAAGACAGAATACACTGCGCAGAGAGTAATTGTTCAAAGTGTGCACCATAAGCGTTCAAACTTCAAACACACTCGACAACGAGGAATCCACTTATCACAAACTGACTGAAAAAAGTTTGGCTGTTGCCGAATTTGGTCTGCTGCAGCGAAAATACGATTTCGAAGGTCATTTTCGTCTTGAATTTCACGTTCATTGTGAACTAGATATTTCATAAGTATGACCCCAAAAATGAAAATCAAGGGGATTTACGTATTACGCCCTATCCAACGATCGCCAAATATATCTCTCAGGTGTTGGACAATAGGTCCTACAATGTGAGCAGGGGCGTCGTCATGAAGATACAATATGTTAGCCCGCTAAGGGGATAGTAATTTCTCCCTACAAACCACTCCAATCTAACTAGAACTGAACCTCTTCCATTTCGTCAACCTATTCGAAAATGTCTCGAGGATTATTCTTTATTGTCTAATGTTGTTACGTATACTTGGTTTTGATAATTCCCTTATTTGTCTGTGAGGAAACCTACACCTGCGATGTTCCTATTAATCTGTGCTATTGTTTCTCCT